TGACGTAGTTTAACTGACGGGAATGAGTAGAACTCAACTTAAAATTGAAGGAGAGGCAAGTTAAGTACAGTGGTGATAAGGGGTAGAAATTTTGTAGGGGGTGAGTGGAGAAGACGATGCATTTAATTCCAAATTAGTTAAGTTTATTTTTAACATCATACAACGATGCAGTATTAACAACTGGATGACTCGAATTGATATGATTATGAGCAACAATTAATGCTCGAAACGACACCCAGCTGTTAATACTGAATCACTGTATGATATTTGAAATAAACTTTTCTAATTTCGAATTAAATTTTGCCACAGTGCTCAAGTTCTACATTTATATCAATAATGTAATTAGGAAACAAAAGCAAAAATTGAAACAAAAATTACGAATTCTCCCTTAAGACAGGTAAGATTCATCGGACATTTAGTGACTCAAAAAATTCTTCTTTATGAAAAGTTAAGGAGTAAACATGTGAGGTTTGATTCGAACACTTTTAGCAAGATGCCAAAGTTAATTTGTGGGTTATCTTGGTGTCCAGATTCGATCAGGTATTCTAGCATAGGACTGCTGTTGGGGAATCTTTTTTCTCGTTTATAAAACCGCGAGGGTGAATGTTCGATGATGCGCTTCGATAGCAAACACTGGGTACTACAGACATACCTAGCTGTGCGCGGGCAGCCGAGCTGACAAATACGCATGTATGAGCCTTTCTGTTTAAGCGAATCAGTGGTTTTGTAGAGAAAGTAAATCGAAGTTCAACCGCTAAGAAGATTTTCCTCAATAAGCGGAACAGGTGGTTTCTCAGTATTTCTGCCTGTATTCCCATTGAATTGTAGATTCAAGTAGAGTAGTATTTTAGGAGCATGAAGTGTGATTGTCTTATTAGTGTAGGCTTCACGGATGATGAATGTTCTGGGTAGGCACTTTCAGGGAGGGTCGTTTTTAGAGTGTTAATCTCCTATTCCATACTATCATAGCTAAAAAATGCTGTGGATTTTGTGCCTGAGTGAACGGATCAGTTTTCGTTTTGTATATAAAGACCCCAATTATGAAAGTTAGTGAGTTGTCCGTTCTATATCGGTTTTCTGTGGATGGATCTTTTTAGTATACCGTCTTCTTCGCGCCATGGGAATTGAACCTCCAGAAAAGATATGTTTGCGTCGGACTCCTTCTCTAATTTGAAGTGGACTGCAGAGTGACAGCTATTGTTTATGTACCCTCAGAACTCATTACTGCAGGTAATGAAAGAATCGTACACATATCTCGAGTAAAACTCGTAGGTATCAGTCATTTCCTTTAAAGATTTGTTTTCGAGTTTTGACGTGACAAAATCTGCAAGCATCGAACCAAGTGGTGAGCTGAAAGCTTCACCATACTTTTGTCAATATATGCCATTATAAAAAGAGAATCGGAGATTCAGAATGCATCTCAAAAGGAGTTCCTTCAAACAGTCTGTGGATATAGCAGTGTTTATGAATATGTCAGCATAATCAGCATGTTATTTTAGTGAGTGAAACAGTCGTAAACAGTGATATCACAACTACTGAAAACATGGTTTAATTAGAAAAATTGGTGTTAACAATGGAGTTGACAATGTCAAAGGAATCTCGCAGTGAATGGCAAGGAACTTACCATTTCTGAAGATTCATTTTGTGGTAAAAAGACATTAGAAATCTTAGAAAAACGGCAACAGTTTTCAAGAATAGTTTGAGCCTTTGATTATTTTGTCGGTTTGTTTCAGCTGACTACATTCTGAATAAAACAAAAAAAAATACACTACATGAAAGATTTGAACATACTTTTATGCGATCACAAGGACTTGTCGTTTAGGATTGTAAGTTATTTTGAATGCCTTCAGATTATCCACGCCCAACAGATGGCGTGTGAACCCTTTAGTTTCAGCTTACTGGATATGTGCGTAGAATTACGGGAGATGAAACTTCTACATGTTCTGCCGATGTATTTACTTTGGCTTCTTCATGTAGAGTATGCATGCCGAGTAATCTCCTAAGGGAAAATCACGAAATCGTTCTAGGTGAAGACAGAAGTAAGACATAGCTGACTGCCTACTACCCTCAATGATTTGCCTGATTGCGATAGACTGGATAATGCGAGAGACGGTGAGAAGCGAGGAAATAGACATTGAATAGACCCACACAAAAAATGTTGAGGATCTGGACTTCGCCGGTGATATGTATCTGACTTCCCGCAAACTGGAAGGTATGCAAATGAAAAGCAATACGTTAGCGGAGGAAGCATCCAGAGGAGATAGGACTTAAGGTGAACATGGAAAAAACAGAGGTGATGAAGATTCCTGGCGAAAAACAGCAGCGACAACAACAGACATCAGCATAAATGGGAGAAATCTGAAAGAAACAACTTTCTTTGCCTATCTGGGGAGCATCGTTTCAACTACAGGCAGGATTGAAGAAGATATCAAATTAAGGTTCCGGAAGGCAAGACAAGCTTTCATTACTCTCAAGTCTGTGTGGAGGTCAACAGCACTCACCATCAAAAATAAGATCCGGATTTTCAACTCCAATGTGAAGTCAGTACTACTATATGGATCAGAGACTTGGCGCATCATAAAGGGCAACTCAAACAAACTACAGACCTTCATCAACAGCTATCTTCGCTGAGCACTACTCAAGATCAGATGACCAGCTAGAAAAGATCAGCAACAGGGATCTATGGGAGTATACCAACCAGGAACCGATTGTGCAAGAAACAAGCAAGAAGAAATGGAGGTGGATTGGCCATACTCTGAGGAAACCATCAAGTGACATCACACGCCAGCCCACTGCTCGAGTGGAACCCAAAAGGGAAGCGGCGAGGTGGTTTTCAGCGCGAGGGTGACTTGGAGGAGCTGATGTGAAGAGGAGATGAAAGCGTGTGGGCAGACTTGGAGCCAGGTGAAAATGTTGGCAGAGAAGCGAACGCAGTGGAGGTGTGTGGCTGAAGCCTTATGTTCCTCTAGGTACTTAAGGAAATAATAATAATGTAGATTGGTAGATGCGGTTCGAGGTGTCATTTGTTAGAAGTCTGTTTACTTTTGATTGTCACAAACAGCTGTTTGTTTAATATTCACAAACAACATTGATGTTTGGATTTGTTCTTTTCAGGGAAGTTTTCAGTTTGTATCTTATTCTACTGGCAGTATAACTTCTTTTCAATGCAAGATGTAGAAGAATGTTTTCGCCACTGTGCGTTGAATGTTTGTTTAGTTTTAGTTAGGGAATCTTTTGACTTTCGTAGTATGACAAAAATAACTAACCCTTGAGCACTCTTTGCAATGGTTTTCAACATTCCTCCAATCAGTTTTGAATTGCAGAATAAATCTGCAGTGAAAATAGTTATGAGTTTTATAAAAATGTGAAATTTAAAGATGTATAATGAGTATTCCCTGGTGATCTAAGTGAAACATAGGACTTCAGTAGCTTACCTCCATTTTATGCTGTTTTCTGTGATATTCCTTACCTGGGCACCCGACTATCCATAATTTCTCATCTCCTTCTCACACGATCTCATCAATGTCACCAATAAAATCAGATTAAGTTTATCGTCTCCCATTTAGGTTCCACTTGAGCGCCGACCTGTCGCTTGATGTCAAGCTTCAATCTCTTAAGTCTACGCCCAATCCATTTCCATTTTCCATCCATATTTTAGATTTGTCCTCGGTCGGTTGATTCGTCCCCAGAGTTTCTTGTTGTTAACCCTTTCCGACAGGCCATCTGATTTATAGTATGGAGTCAGAAAAGGTAACTGTTGGAGTATCCTGTGGGAAAAGCTTTTGATGACTCACCAAGTCTACAATGACTTGTATGAAAGATCAAAAAGAACCCCTCTTTTTATTTGAATGTTCTGGGTTTTATCTATAGTGAGGCTATGGGAGAAGTAAAAACACGGACAAAAGAACGCTGTCATGCACTCCCTGGCTTTCAGCTTTACTAAGTTAACTTTCCTGCACCTAGAGAAGGGAGAAAGGAGGACAGGTGGGTGGCGAATTAAACTAATCATTGGAGAAATCTTAAAGCTTCAAGGATAAAAAACAACAAACTGAACAGTGCGCGTAGATAAAACTAGCTGAAGACAAAATACTGGAGAGAAAAATAATAGCGTTCAATGTTCAGTACTCAGAGTTTCGGTTTAATAATAGGTAGTACTTTTATTGCTAATCTTTGCATACCGGCTCCAGCTATTAATCATGAAATGAGCGACGATACCATTGGTTTTCCTTTTATCTGTCCGTATATTTGATTATCAAACTGAAATTATGTTGTTAAACATTGTGTTTTTGTGTTCTCATCTCTTTAGAATAGATGTTTAATAGTTTCTTTCCCTACTTTTGTACTATTAGAAGTATATAATGCCTTGACAACAAAAGACACCAGTCTTTCATTGTCATCCACTTGAATATTTTTTTGATTTTCTCTAAAAATCTTATTGACGAACTGATACAATGATCTCACGATTCTATAAGGCATTATAATTTCCTGAAGCATTCTTTAGATAGATTATATGTTGGTGTTCCTGACAGCAAAACTGTTGGTACACTTTCTACTAAAAACTTCGTTGAAAATATTGTCTAGAAGCGGTGGGGGGGTGGAGGGAAGACAACGAAAGCTTCACAATTAAATCAACCAACTCACTGAACACAACACATTCAAAATCTTATTGAATATTTCACATATGAATTGTGAAACTGTATTCTTCGTAAATAACTTATTGAACACAATGCCATTTGTTAGCGTATGTTGCTATTTCAAATATATATATATACGTCCAGGGTGACCAATCAGAAAGCCTTTTGCGTTTATTCAGCTATGGTCGAATCACACTATCAGCATATATGTATATATATAGATATGGAAAGCTTTTTAAATGTCCCGCCTACTGATATGATGAACAGTAATAAATAATAATAATTATTATTGCCACTTTTAATTCGAATAAACAAAAAACAAATATTTATCTTTTTATTCTATTTCATGAATTCATCTACACAATTATGTCATCTACTAAAGGATGTTTAACAGACTTAACCAAAGAAGAAATTCTCGTCTACGGTTTTCGAGCGTATATCTCACCAATTCTCGTGATTATCGGTATACCAACAAATTTTCTAGTTGCTGTAGTCTTCACTATCCTTGAACGTCGTAGTAAATGTCGTTTTAATCTCTATGCTATATGGATGGCTATAGCACATAATATGCAATTAATCGTGAATACCCTAATAGATGATTTTTTAGGTCGTGGATTAAAATACGCCACCTTATGTAAACTGTCAATACAAGTTGATATTCAATCATCGTTTATATGTAAAGTACAAACATATTTAACTGATGCCTCAGCACTAATTGCTGCCTCCATTCTGATGTTATTCAGTGTGGATCGTGTTTGTTCCATTTATAATCCAAAGTATTTTGAACAAAGTTCTCACATAAAATTAAGCCATGTAATTATTTTCTTGGTTACACTGATATCTTTAATGTTGAATATTCCTCATTTAATATTTGCAGATTTAAAAATTACACCGATAAATAGTTATCGTGAATGCCAGTATATTAATCCGTTAGCTGGTGGGGTTAAATACGTTCTCTACTTATACATTGTTGGTGTAGCTATTCTCCCCGCTATATTCATATTCATTACAAATATTCTTATTTTATACAAATTGAGTACTATTGTCTATCGATCTAAGCTGATTGGTGCTAAAGATGAAGAATCCAAGAATGAAATGGGTAAAGTGGTAGCTCACTTGGCTATTAGTATCCTATTCACTTGTGTATCTATCCCACTGGTTGTAACAATTATACTCAGACAAGAGGTACACTTTTATAAATATGATGTATTATATCCAGCTTATGCTAAAAAAGTTGTCCAGTATTCAAAGTTATTTAGTTCTGTGGATTCATTCAATCATGCATTTGATTTTTTCTTGTATCTGGCTTTCATGCCAACATTTCGTGATACTGTTTGGGAGATAGTAACCTGTCGAGTGATTGGTTGGCGGAGAAGACAACGTGTAAAGTATAGAAAACGATTAGAATATTTTGAAAATCAACACCGTCATCATCACCAATGTAACCATGACGACCATCGGCAACTAAAACAACAACAACAGCGGCAGCAGCAACAGCAACAACAAACAAAGCTACAATCACAACTGCAACCACATCAACATTACCAACTGGAATGGAAGCCTGCTACACTAGTTAACGATGATGACAAAATATCACTTTATTCAAATAATTATAGTATTTTCCCTGAAATTATCTATGCTAATATTAATGGTATCAATTATAGTACAGAGCCTATCCCGTATATTGACCAGTATGTGAATTATTCTCCGGAACACTGTGTACTGACACGTTTATAGAGACAGAGTTGTTTATCATGCGACAATCTGTCGACACTGTATAGCGTCAATTGATTCTATCGGTCAATTTCACTTCCTAATTACATTCCTTAAAAATGATAAACAAAACAAGTAGTGTAGAATACATTCACATCAGTAAGTAACGTTTTGAAAAGGGGAAAAACCTCAATTCTCTAGTAAGACAATTGGATTTCGGTATATTCTGTTATTGGATTCTATCTTCCTAATGAACAGAAACACTATTTTGATAACTGTCGGTGTACATGAAGGTCGGATATGTCAGTCGTACTTGAAACTGATTGAAGATTGTCAACAACGATGTGACACACACATACAGGCACAAACATTCTGGATGGTTTCAAGGAACAATTATTTTTATTTTACAAAAAGAAACGTGGAGATCTCACTTAAATCAATAATGAGAAGACAATTTAATTATGTAACTATAAATATGAAAATATATGCATCATTAATTCAGAAAAATGGCTTCATTTCTGCTTGAGTATATTTCATGAGAAGGAAATAATAAAGAGGCCCGCCCCGAAATTTTCCATTTTGTTTTATTAAAAAAGAATTAGAGAAGAATTCATTCCACAGTCCATGCCATGTGTTGTTCCTTTGTAAGTTGACCCTGTTTTATTTTATTGACAGAAGGCATTTAAATGTTCTACCTTTTTTGAAATTATCAACTATAAGTCAAAATGTATTTGAGTCGAAACAGTAAGAATGATTGAAAAGAAATTTTTTGTGTTTTCTTATATTCTAATGAAATTCTACCGTATTCTTGAGTTCATGCGATAAGAAGATGATGTTGCTTTCAAAATTAAACTTAATTCCAATATTGCATAGCTCTTCAGTCATCAGTGATGCTGGTAAACTCTTGAAGCAACCAGGACTTGTTATTATTTTGATGTCGTTTGTACTTGAACAACTATTTTCCAGCGAGAATTTCAAACAATCAACGAATATTAACAAAGCAGGATAAAGTGAAATTACCGAACATCATTGGACGTCAAATGTCAGTGTTCAGGGACTTAATTGATTACTGTTTTGATCATAAAGTGGCATTAATTACAGAACCATTGGAAAACCAGAGTGTGCTTGACAGTCATCAGTACGCAACCTCCGGGGTTCGGAAGCAGGATCTCCTGATTACAAGGCGACGTTGTAGATCATTCAGCCAGTAGGACCTGATCCAATAATAAGCCTGTGAATTGCAACTTCTGCAAACTGAGGTGGCACATAGCGCAACCACTATAGATGATATAGATGCGTAACTATCCTCTTAACTTTCTTCGTGGTCACGACATTTAGCGGTTGCGTCAAATACATTGTAGGTTGGCAGAGGTTAGAATTCATAAGAAATTGTATCGGGTCCTAATACTAAATGGTCGGCGAGCTTGCCTTGTAACCGGGAAGTGCTGGGCTTGGAATGTCTAAATAGTGTCACGCATACTACGAGGAATACACAAGGCGGTAAATGACTTTTACACAAACTACATTGAGTAAACCATGGGAAAATAAAGGGTAAAAAAGGTTCAGGAATGTAAACTGAGAGAAATAAGCGGTTGAAGGTATACAAAAGAATGAGAATTTGGTTTATAATGGATCACACATAAGTTGTATTACTATAATAATGAATAATGGTTATGAGTTTTAATCTATGTGTACAACTTGGGCATTGTGGTAGTAAGTAATTCCGTATTAATTTGTCTATTGGCTACATCATATAGTTAAACGGTATTATTCACTGGATGACGTTTCAGACAAAATTTATTGTTCATAATCATATCAATTATGATCACATGACTTCGAAACTTGAATTCAATGGTTTTCTTTGTTCTCTCAGATATTTGTCATCGTTGGGGTAGGAGAATTTTCTAGACATCCGACTGTACAGGTGTTGAACCACTTCTATTACTATTAATAATAGTACTAATAATAATCATGACGACATGCATGTCAGTTAGGTGCTCCCGTGGAGCCTTTAAAATGATTATCAGGTGAAATACATAGGTCAGAGTAGTAGAACAGGTGCAGTCAGTGAGACTACCCGGGCATACAAATCTAGCAAAATCTAGATAAGTTGACGCGAATAAGATAAGAAATCTCGAAAATAGTTTAGCTATGCCACTCACTACATGCAAATACACACAGTCATGATATAGGATGGGATAGGATGACAGTTTTAAAACCTTATGTTTTAGGGTGGAGGGAGAGATTGATAACAGAAGCTTTGCTTATCGAATCATTTGCCAATACGTGTAACAGGAATGATTCAACACCTATCCAGTCGGATATCTTGAGAATTCTTCTGCTACCCCTACGATGACAAATAGGAAAGAACAAAGAAAATTATTGAACTCAAATTTCGAAGTAGTGTGATCATAACTGATATGATTATAAAGAATAAATTTTATTTGAAACGTCATTTAGTAAACAATACTTTTTCACTATGACGTAACTAATAGACAAACAAATATGGAATAGTTATAAGCTTATTCATAATAGTGAAACGAGTTAAGATAGTATTGACTACGGATGGTTTTAATTAAGGCAAACATTTTAGCAATGGTAAGAGATACAATAGAATGAACCAGCAATAAGAACACTTAGTAAAATAAAAGATATTGCCACAGCAGAACACCATTTCTCACTGTATGTATACGTCTTCATTGCACAAGCCTTTGCAATCGTAAACATCCTTCTATTTGTTTGTCTGCGGCAAAACAGTGGATGGCTTTATAGCACCACGATCATATCTACAGGCTATATGGTTTCAGATGGTCAGTGGCAATCTGCATAAATCCATACACTTTTAAACCACGCTTGTTAGCACTCGACATCGTTGCTTGACTGCACCCTTCGGAAAACAGATGTCGCCTCCTATATTCGAATCGGAGCCAGCCAGGGCCACAAGCAGACGATACCATTGCATTACTTTGGTTCAGAACTGATCACATGTTGGAGTGTTATCAGTAAGCTGGTTGGAGAGTAACTTATGCGACTGAACCTTCTGGTAATGTGACTTCAACCTTTTTGGAACACTTAGGCAGTTAAATGATTAAGCGAGTAGATAGCAACCTTTCCTTACAATAAATTTATTTAAATTACTGTACACAGCCGAAGATGTTGAAGGGGGTGACCAGTATTTTCAAAATTACCGAAGCATCCACTTCATAGTGTTAGGAATTATGAGTTTTGTGGCATAATATTTCCGTCTCATAGCTTTATTGAGTCTTTGTCCAACTACTTGTACATCGTCTGCTTCATAAAACAAACTAATAAGTAAAGTCTGCCTTGAAATGGTCTGGACTATTGTGTTGACACTTATTTCCTTGGAATACCCACTGATATAAACCTGAGTATATCCAATCTTAGATAAGATGTCCCTCAGAGTTTTTATTCCGTGCACTCCTATAGTATATACTACAAAAACAGTCTTTCTGTGCTACTCTCATTATTCTGATTATGTTCCTTTTCATACTGGGTAGGAACAAAGCTCATGAAATCTCTATAGTCTTCTAAATATAGATCTCTTTATTGTACTATCAACCCTGTTTATCATCAGTGAAGTGAATCTAGCATCGCGATTTCACTCATTTCTACTGAAAATTTTATGATTATGATATCACAAGTTGAATTTAAGCAACAATTTTCCCTGCTGTTGGTGTACTCTTATGGACAATAAGAATGTCATCTTTATATTTTAGATGAACTTTGTAAACATTTCTTGTAAACAATGCTTAAATAACTGGAGAATATACTATACTCTCCAAATAATGCTTCCCTGCTCATTGTGGATCACAAGAAATGAAATTAGTTACGTAATTAGGGCCGGTTAAATATAATGTTTAAAAGTCTAATTGAACTGTGTGAAAAATTCTACACTTGGTCTGCGCCTAGGCTGAAGAATATTACATCTTGAGCTAACATCACTCAAGGCATCATTGGAAAACCTGAGAGTGTTGGACAGAAATTTCGTGACCATTGAGTACTATAGGTCAGGTGTGAGTAGAGATATTCGCCCCGGATGACACTGGCTAGTGCCAGTCACGCTATATCGTGAACTGACAGAAGCTGGAGTTCATGGGTTGGCCACTGGGTCGGGTTACAATGGCTTTATGTTCTACGAGTTTGACTTGTAACAGGAACTCATGGGTTCGGACCCTGACAGTGGGTGCTTACTGATAAAGAGCCTTGAACTAGAACAAGACAACCACCCAGTACGCTAGTCGATGTCATTTCATGATGAAATCCTGTAACTAATCAGATCAGTTCCCTGCAAATCGACACTTGAAAGTACTGAAGCTACTTTTTGAAGCAAGATGGAAACATTCGTTTTGAAAAAATGATGTGAAATTAAAAAATTCATGGTTTCCAATCCAAATCAATCAGGGAGGACACAGGACAAACGGTGAGCCCCAAAATCTACCAAAGTGATATGAGGTAGTTAAGCGTATGGTGACTAGCAGTGGAATTTGTGAAGCGCACTTCACCCCATTCCACACTCGTGAATTAGACGTACCTGAATTCCCCATCGAGTGAGTGTGTTTCCAATGTTATAATAAAAGAAACAGGACAACAAACAACATACTCATGTCTGTTCATGATTTTAATTGAAATTGAAAGAATCCATCTAAGCCAAGAAATGAAAACTAAACTAACATGGTTGGCGACCAACTAAAAGATGAAGTTTACTAGAGCTCTGCTGAAAGGTGGTGAGTAGTAAAGTCTACCAGGTCACGTGTGTGCAGGCAACTCAAGGAGGACGCTAATCAACGGCAGTGGAAATTTATGCGCCACTGGATCCCATCCCAGTAAGGTAATGGTTAACAGGTCAGCATCATGAACTGAAAGCCATGAGGTATGTGCCCAGAGGCATTATAGATGCAAACTGTTCAATATTTTCAAAAGCTGGTGAAAAAAGTTACATAATAAGTTATTATACAACCAAGGAAGAAAAGGTTTGATGCCGTGGTATTAAAAAGGAATGTATG